GTCCAATAAACTAGCCCCCTCGCAGGACAAATCTTAAAATCTGAAACCTGATCCATTCGTACCTAACCTAACCTAGTCTATGTGGCCACCCAGTCTCTGTGTATAAACAGGTTATATTGCGTCTATTATTCATTATTCACTCTACTATTGTCACCTTCACTCTACTTCACTCTACTGTTTTGTCTTTCTTTACTCTTCACTCTCTGACCTATAGAATTCTCGGTATAATAACAAACATTATTTATCGTCGTTACGTCATATCCGTGTACTGAACGTTCCTGTTAGCTGGCCACCTCTTAAACCAACCAATCACACGTCTTCCTCAGAGGACAATACCGATGACGTCAAGCGAGGATTTAACAGTTGAGGTATGAGTCATTATATTTTTGTTTTGTGGGTCAGTACAGGAGTTTGAAGTAAATATTTTATTGTAGGTTTTTATATAGACAGTACAGGTATATAAACAATGTACATAGACAGTGCAGGTATACAAACACAGGTAGGTCAGACAGGTGTTCTGCATCAATGTGCTGCGCTTACCACTAACAACAACAACAACAGACGATCACATTCACAACACGTCCGTCCACCTTGAAGGGATCCGGTGTAGTGTTCCAACCTATTGTCGATTACGTATATATTGACATTAATATCTTAGGCATGTTTCCTCACCCCCTCCTCAACCCCTCCTCTCTCACCCTACGCCTCTCTTCTCTCCCTCCTTCATTATCCCTTCTCCTCCCTCCTTCATTAGTCCTTCTCCTCCCTCCTTCATTATTTCTTCTCCTCCCTCCTTCATTATCCCTTCTCCTCCCTTCTTCATTATCCCTTCTCCTCCATCCTTCATTATCCCTTCTCCTCCCTCCTTCATTATCCCTTCTCCTCCCTCCTTCATTATCCCTTCGCCTCCCTCCTTCATTATCCCTTCTCCTTCCTCCTTCATTATCCCTTCTCCTCCCTCCTTCATTATCCCTTCTCCTCCCTCCTTCATTAACCCTTCTCCTCACTCCTTCATTAACCCTTCTCCTCCCTCCTCCATTAGCCTCTGTTCCTCACTCCTCTCTCCTCTTACACCAGATTACGTAAAAAAAATAATAATAAATAAATAAAATAATTAAACCTCATATAAGTGTACTTAATAAAATATTAAGTGATAAAAGTAATTAAATCACCAATCAGAAAGGTTTAATTTATCACATACATTGGTTTAAGTTACTTTATTTCCAAGGTAAACCATCGTCATTAAACCCAGCTTAGTCCTTATATTAAATAGATTAATTAATAACGTATAAAGAGTAATGTCATTAATCCCACCCTACACCTGTTATGTTATGAGGCAGGTAAGATAATTACAGTAATTACAACTCATTAGGTTGTTTAATTACTCATAATTACTCATAAGCAGCGCGAGTGTTTAATAGTCACGTTGTTGGATGTTGATCAAATATTAAAAATTTTCTGGGTGTCTTTTACACGCTGAATCGAACGGTGTCTTTGTAAATAACATTGAATCGAACGGTGTCTTTGTAAATAACATTGAATCGGACGCTGTCTTTGTAAATAACACTGAATCGAACGTAAAACAATGAATGAACCTAAACTCTGACTATTAACATTATTAAGTGAACTGCTATGATTTTTGACTCACTTAATTACCTTGTTAATCTCCAATGATTTATCTTACTGTCATGTTACTTTGATCACTATGTCCTTGGCTCTATCACTCACCGCTATGATCATAATTATATAGTTTGATCATTACGAAGACCATTTATGATCAGGCTTTATTCATATTGTTTATTACATGTTATATATAGTAATTATTTAAGTTCTCGAATAAATAATAATAATAATAATAATAATAATAATAATAATAATAATAATAATAAGAAGAAGAAGAAGAAGAAGAAGAAGAAGAAGAAGAAGAAGAAGAAGAAGAAGAAGAAGAAGAAGAAGAAGAAGAAGAAGAAGAAGAAGAAGAAGAAGAAGAAGAAGAAGAAGAAGAAGAAGAAGAAGAATATAATAGCCATATATCCTCTACTCCAAATTAGTGTCAAGAATATTCACATATAAAAAAATAAATATTGTTTTTTTATTATGATTATTTGTGTTTACTGCCTTGATTTGTTTGTTTGGTTGTTTGGTTGTTTGGTTGTTTGAGTGTTTAGTTCAATCACGAGTAAGGCTGAATCTTTTTGTCTTGATGTTTACTAATAGTGATTCGTTTATTATATGAATCACGACTCATTTGTTAACGTTATCAATACAGATTCATGACCTATTGACCCGTAGTCCCTTCCCCCTGTTGTATGGCAGCTAAATACGGGTCACATACGGGAAACACGGCTAGATATGGGTCACATACAGGAGATAAAGCTAGATATGGGTCACATAGGGGAAACACGACTAGATATGGGTCACTAAGAAGAAAGACGGGTAGATAAAGGTCACATAAGGGAGACATAGCTAGGTTACGGGTCACATACAGGACACACCTATGAGAGAGAGAGAGAGAGAGAGAGAGAGAGAGAGAGAGAGAGAGAGAGACATTACAGGGGTAAAGGTAGGAACAAGTGGCAGGCAGACTATAACAGGTGTAGGTAGGAACAACAATGCAGATATGAACAATTATACCTATACACAAACTACAAATATACGAGCCTAAAATATATTACCTAATCCACATTAACTTAATACAATAAATCTTATGAAAACTTACCCCCCAAAAAACCTAAACATGAAATAACTCCAAATTAACAATAAAGTCCCAAAAAAAATCAATAAATGTCTAAAAATATATTGTCTTAAATATGTCTAAAATTACCTCTTGGGTTGTCTTACACGTGAGAATTTTTAGACCAAGACGTGAGAGGTAAGTACAGGTGTGTTATAGAAGTGGGTGTTGAGTCTTTTATAAACTCAATGTGCTTTCAGAGACACACGTAACCTTAAGACACACACACACACACACACAGACTGAGAAAGGTGACTCCGATTTCCAAAGGTCAAGGTTAAAATATCGGGCAATTTAACCGGTTCTTGTTTCTCTCTACACCGATTATACCGATAAGTTTAAACATAGATTACGTTACCGATTTCAAACACTCATTACATTATTAATTTTAAACATAATTTCCATTACCGATTACAAACACACAGTACATTACCGATTACAAACACAGGTTACATTACCGATTACAAACACAGGTTACATTACCGATTTCAAACACAGATTACAAATTCAACTGTAACAACCCCCCCCCCCCCCCCCCCCACGATTCACAACACACCTGTAATTATGACCACGCACACACACACACACACCTGTAAACTAATAAACACAACCAACCCCAAGGCCACCCCCACCTCCTTACCATATTTCCCCAAGGCCACCCCCACCTCCTTACCATATTTCACCTGTGTGTGTGTGTGTGTGTACAGGGAGAGAGTGGGATGAGGTAACACACACACACACACACACACTCACACTGGACCGCGTATTTCCCCAGTGTGGTAAAGTGGATCCACCACTCTCCACCTCCACCAATCATACATAAGACGATTGTTGCCATTAATTGTTTTCATTATATTATTGCCATTAAGGGTTAATGGTATCAATGGTAGTGGTGGTAGGGAGTAGTGGCGTGACAGTAGCATCAGGGGCGTAAGTGGACTCATCAGTGGTGGCAGCCTCATAAGCCGATCACCACTTACTGCATCAAGTGACAGAATGACGCAATTGTGACATCACGTAACGTCACACAGATAATCATGTACTGATATGGCCCCAAGACAGGCGGATGTGTTTCCTCGCCTCTAGTCGGGGCATTAATGAGAGATGTTGGGGGTGGTTGACTCTGGGCGGCCATGAGATAGTTTTCTTGTTGTTGATGTGAGGAGAGTGAGGGAGCGGCCATGTTAGCCCCAGGTATAAACACAGAGATGGTGATGGTTATTGTTGAGGCCCTCACATGTACAGTACACTTAATACACGTTAATGTACTCACAAATGTACTTGTGCATACACGTACACGCGTATACACACACACACACACACACACACACCCACACACATACACACACAAGCATGCACGCGCGCGCATGCACTCTCACTGGCATGTGCGCGGGCGCATACACAGATGTATACTCGCGTACAGACACACACACACGCACACACACACACACTCACACCTACATACACTCAGATTCATGCAAATGCACATTGGCACGCACATACACACACAAATGCACATACATATCAAAGAGGACACAGTCACTGCCGGGCACTACAGTAGGAAGTGGCTGTAGGGGCAGTACCGGGTCTGTCATGCACCATCATGAAGCACTTGTTAGCATGGAGCGCTAATATTTCCATGCCCCGCTCGCTCCCCGAAGCTCGTCCACGATGCCAATTGTCAATTTATCCTACATCTTATCTACGTCATTTTACAGCCGGAATTACAGCAACTTAAGATATATACGACAATTTTATCATACAAATTCGAACAAAATTTAAATCGAGTAAAAGTGGTGAGAGTTTATAGATGTTTACAATTTAGAAAGAAAAAGTGAATCAGTTTCACTTTCCATATCTGGGTGAGCGCTTTGTGTTTATCTTACATTTGTGATACTGGAGATAGTGTGGTGAGGGGGGTGGGGGTGGGCGACCACCTGCCGGGGCTGTGTTGTGTGCCTGGCGTGTAGCAGGGAAGGTCTTGTGGCAGGATAACACAACAAACCCAGCTAACAGGCCCGGTAATGGCAAGTACAAGCAGCATCTCACCTGATAGTTTGTATCTCCCTCCGCTTAATAAACGTCTCTCACTATCTCTCACTAGTGCGTGATATCTGGTTTTATCGTTGGAAGACAATAAACAAAGACTTATCTAATGTCTTGTGAGTGGTTGGCAGCTGTTGTTATCGGCGATGTTATCCGTGTGTGTAAGATAGGGCAATAAACGGGTTTAAGTGTATAGAGAAAACGGAGCCCCACCTGGACATGGAGAGTTCCTCTCATGTCCGGGGGCCACACAGTTGCAACCCAGACCTTGTCGAGGGTAGACGTGTTACGTGTGCTTCTCCCAGTGTTCCTAGCCAAATCATCTAGCTGCATGTCTCGAACGGTAAGCTTGCATACTTTTATGGTTGTTTATTATTTAACTACGACCACAGGCTGGAACACAGGACACGTTGTGTCATGCCCTGGGTGCTTAGGGACCAATTTAAATTCTTGAATTTTGACACGACGCTGTACATTTCTAACCACCTGCATTGACAGGCAGAAAATTCTCTTTTATCAAAACTGTTCACCCGGCTCATTCGAAATTCGTGTCCTGGGGCGGCGGGGCATTGTGAACCGAGCGTGACACCAGACGATCACTATCCCACCCCAGAAATGAAAATCGATAATCACAATGAAAATAAAAGACACGTAACACTTATTAAAACGAAGCAATAAGAAACTGTGTGTGCTTTCAAGCGGCGGCGCGAGCCTTAGGGGCCTAGACGCCTGTGCTTGTGGACGAGGAACACGGAGCATGTTTTATCGGAGTGGGGTATGCTCTACCTACCCCCCTCACCTGCCCCACCCCCTCCTTCCCCTCCCCTTTACCGCCCCTTCCAGCTACCTGCTTGCTTGTGCTCTGTTTAGTGGAGACCAGTGCCTAGAAAACACACACCCCGTCTGTCGTGGTCTGTACCATACCAGTCTGGTAGTAGCGTGGGGGGTAGTGGTGTTTAAAGGTCTGGGGGTAGTGGGTCTACTGGAGGTCTGGGGGGTAGTGGTGTTTACTGGAGGTCTGGGGGTAGTGGTGTTTACTGGAGGTCTGGGGGTAGTGGTGTTTACTGGAGGTCTGGGGGGTAGTGGTGTTTACTGCAGGTCTGGGGGGTAGTGGTGTTTTACTGGAGGTCTGGGGGTAGTGGTGTTTACTGGAGGTCTGGGGGGGTAGTGGTGTTTACTGGAGGTCTGGGGGTACTGGAGGTCTGGGGGTAGTTGGGGGAGGTCTGGGGGTAGTGGTGTCTGGAGGTCTGGGGGGTAGTGGTGTTTACTGGAGGTCTGGGGGGTAGTGGTGTTTACTGGAGGTCTGGGGGGTAGTGGTGTTTACTGGAGGTCTGGGGGTAGTGGTGTTTACTGGAGGTCTGGGGGTAGTGGTGTTTACTGCAGGTCTGGGGGTAGTGGTGTTTACTGGAGGTCTGGGGGGTGGTGTTTACTGGAGGTCTGGGGGGGTAGTGGTGTTACTGGAGGTCTGGGGGTAGTGGTGTTTACTGGAGGTCTGGGGGGTAGTGGTGTTTACTGCAGGTCTGGGAGGTAGTGGTGTTTACTGGAGGTCTGGAGGTCTGGGGGGTAGTGGTGTTTACTGGAGGTCTGGGGGGTAGTGGTGTTTTACTGGAGGTCTGGGGGGGTAGTGGTGTTTACTGGAGGTCTGGGGTGGTGTTTACTGGAGGTCTGGGGGGTAGTGGTGTTTACTGGAGGTCTGGGGGTAGTGGTGTTTACTGGAGGTCTGGGGGTAGTGGTGTTTACTGGAGGTCTGGGGGTAGTGGTGTTTTTACTGGAGGTCTGGGGGGTAGTGGTGTTTACTAGGTCTGGGGGTAGTGGTGTTTACTGGAGGTCTGGGGGGTAGTGGTGTTTACTGGAGGTCTGGGGGTAGTGGTGTTTACTGGAGGTCTGGGGGTAGTGGTGTTTACTGGAGGTCTGGGGGGTAGGTAGTGGTGTTTACTGGAGGTCTGGGGGTAGTGGGTGTTTACTGGAGGTCTGGGGGTAGTTGGAGGTCTGGGGGTAGTGGTGTTTACTGGAGGTCTGGGGGTAGTGGTGTTTACTGGAGGTCTGGGGGGTAGTGGTGTTTACTGGAGGTCTGGGGGTAGTGGTGTTTACTGGAGGTCTGGGGGGTAGTGGTGTTTTACTGGAGGTCTGGGGGGTAGTGGTGTTTACTGGGAGGTCTGGGGTTAGTGGTGTTTACTGGAGGTCTGGGGGGTAGTGGTGTTTACTGGAGGTCTGGGGGTAGTGGTGTTTACTGGAGGTCTGGGGGGTAGTGGTGTTTACTGGAGGTCTGGGGGTAGTGGTGTTTACTGGAGGTCTGGGGGGGTAGTGGTGTTTACTGGAGGTCTGGGAGGTAGTGGTGTTTACTGGAGGTCTGGGGGGTAGTGGTGTTTACTGGTAGTTGTTGGGATAATGGTAGTTACTGGCGATATCCAAGTGGTCGTTGAAGGGGAAGTGGCATTCGGAGAAGGGTCACTGATGATGGTAGGGATGGTAGCGGATGGTGGTTGCGGTGGTAGGGATAGTGGTAGCGGATGGTGGTTGCGGTGGTGTAGCTGATGGTGGTTGCGGTGATAGGGATAGTGGTAGCTGATGGTAGTTGTGGTGGTAGGGATAGAGTGCGGATGGTGGTTGCGGTGATAGGGATAGTGGTGGCTGATGGTAGTTGTGGTGGTAGGGATAGGTAGCTGATGGTGGTTGCGGTGGTAGGGATAGAAGTAGCGGATGGTGGTTGCGGTGATAGGGATAGTGGTAGCGGATGGCGGATGGATGGTGGTAGCGCTGAGTAGGATAGTGGCTGATGAGGGCTAGCAGGTAGCTGATGGTAGGGATAGTGGTAGCGGTGATAGGGATAGTGGTAGCTGATGGTGGTTGCTGATGGAGTTGTGGTGGTAGGGATTGCTGATGGTGGTTGCGGTGATAGGGATAGTGGTAGCTGATGGTGGTTGCGGTGATAGGGATAGTGGTAGTTGATGGTGGTTGCGGTGATAGGGATAGTGGTAGTTGATGGTGGTTGCGGTGGTAGAGATAGTGGTAGCGGATGATAGTTGCGGTGATAGGGATAGTGGTAGTTGCGGTGGTAGGGATAGTAGTAGCGGATGGTGGTAGGAGACAGGGAAGGAATTAAGACCAACAGTGTTAGGTATCAGTGGATAATGCCCTTACATCACAGGTGAAGGCAGGTGAGTATTGCGTTACTACTTTACAAGGTGACTGGTGGTAGATAGTCGGGTTAAGGTGTGTCAAATGTTGGCATTGTGGTAGTGGGGTGTTGCCAAGGTGTCTCAGGTGTTGGCAGTGTATTGTCACGGGTTTCAGATGTTGGCAGTGTGTTGTCAGGATGTCTCAAGTGCTGTCAGTTTGTGGTCAGGATGTTTCAAATGTTGTCAGGGGTGTCTCGAGTGTTATCAGGGGTGTCTCGGGTGTTGTCAGGGGTGTTTCAGGTGTTGTTAGGGGTATCTCGAGTGTTGCCAGGGGTGTCTCGGGTGTTGCCAGGGGTGTCTCGGGTGTTGTCAGGGGTGTCTCGGGTGTTGTCAGGGGTGTCTCAGGTGTTGTTAGGGGTATCTCGAGTGTTGCCAGGGGTATCTCGGGTGTTGTCAGGGTGTTACAAGACCAGACAGTGAGCTCAAACGCTGTACAGTCTCAAGGTCTATGTTTACGCTCAGTGATCAGGCTCCTCTGGTCCGTGAAAGACAGCGAATGATGTAATATATAAATTTAATTACTACCTCTAGATATATCTCTCTCTGTCTCTCTCGTCTCTTTAATATAACTAATATAATATAGGTCTATACTTAATATAACCAGCGTACATAATATAGTAGTAATAATTTTCAAAGTTAGTTTCATATATAACAAGAAATACACAAGGAAGGGTATTTACTCCAGCAGGAAGAAGGACTAGACTACGGCGTAACATAGAAACACACACAGAACTAACCTCTAGTGTGACGGGGTATGGCAGTAAGGGGCAGGATGTTAGCGTCACGTTCATCTGCCGACGCCCACTCGCCCCTCAGGTGTCCTACCCTCCTCACCACACAGTCAAGGGTAAAAGAAATATTCTATGCCTGGACGCCATTATTATCAGGCGGCGTGACTGGGTGGACCGTACCATATTCCTCCGCTGAGCATTCGTTGTTGATGGGTTATTATTTTATATTTTTAATTATTCTCCGCATTTTTTATGTAATTGCTGCAGTTTTATTTGTATTCATAGTTTCTGATTGTTTCTTATTTTCTTTTATTCGATATTTGTTGATTATTTTCTGTATTTACAATTATTATTTTCTTCTGTTTTTCGTATTAATTTTTGGTTAAGATTGCAGACATATCCGGTGCTGCGTAATTTTATTTAATGGATCATTATCTTACTAGAATTCCATCATTAAGTTCAGTTGTGATAATTATTTCTTGGACAGATGCTTCGTTTAGTAAATAATAATTAGGCCCCAAGGCGCGCACTACTTCACCTTTATCGGCGGTGAAACGGTACGTAAGAACAAAAGAATGGAGGAAACGCAGCAGGCCTATTGGCCCATACTGGGCAGTCCCATTTACACCCAACCCCTATTGCTCATATAAGCACCCAACCTATGTTTGAAGCTATCCAGCGTATTCGAGTAAATAATGATATTTGGTAACTTGTTCCATTCATCCACTACTCTATTTCCAAACCAGTGTTTACCTATTTCGCGCCTAAATCTAAATTTGTCTAATTCAAAACCATTGTTACGAGTTCGCTCCTGGTTGGATAGTTTGAGTACCTTTGTAATGTCCCCTTTGTTTAGCCCTGACTTCCATTTATACACCTCTATAATGTCGCCCCTCACTCTACGTCTCTCGAGGGAGTGCAAATTAAGATGCTTTAACCTGTCTCTATATTCAAGGTTCCTAATGTCATTCTCCTCTGTATTCTTTCCAAGGATTCTATATCCATTCTGTAATACGGTGACCAGAACTGAACTGCGTAATCCAGGTGAGGTCTCACAAGCGCAAGATATAATCTTCAGATGACCTTACTAGTGTTGGAACTATGGCGGTACGGCGGCCCGATCCACACTTCATGTTGTCTTCCGCCCTTGATATATTTCAATGCAACACTTGAGCCATTCGGTCCAAACATTCTCTCACGCCCCCAAAAAACATAAAATTACACCATATCTAATAAGTTCTTTCTGTTTAATATGCCGGGAAGTTAAGTTAGGTTAAGTTGGTATCGTTTCTCCCTCTTCTGTTTCTTATCGGCGACGTTTTTAAATTCATTTTATCTGTGAAAATTTGGCTCATGATGCAAGTCACTCGATATAATGTAGTAAACTGAGCAATCATATTTGTTATAACTTACTGTGCTGAATGGTGCTATTA